GCAAACCACAATGATCCCATCAATTCCCAATTGACAAAATCAAGTCCCGCCCTACATTATTTTCTTGCTTGAGAAGCCAATTCTCTTACATATACATCACAATAGGAAAAAAAGAACATACATTTCATGTCGACTTTTAAAAGGACTAAGCTAGGACAAAATTAAAAAGAACACCACCTTGATCTTAAAATACAGAAACATTTAAAAGGAGAGAAAAAAAAAAGTGAAGCTCTTGTAGCAATAAGATATTACGAAATGATAAACAAGGGTTACTGGAAGTGAGGAAGTGTTCGCATCTAGTTATTCACAGAAAGTAGAAGACGTACCACTGCTCGAGTGTAATCCCCTGTTGCAAGGGAACCCTGGGAGCTCATCTGAGCAATCAGCAAACAGCCGTGACCCAGAGGCTTGCCGACGGCACCGAGACCCTGCAGCACACCCGGACCCGGCAACGCGTGGGCATTAATGATGTGTGCCCATGAGGAGATCCGATAGAGACCACCTTTAAAAAACAAGAATATTTTATGTGAACAACATTTGCGCAGAAATTAAAATAAAATTTAGACAAATTGTTCACTCAAAAAATACTTTTTTCTTTTATTCACCCTGAAGTAATTCCAGGAATGTATGACTATTTTTTTTTTTTCCAGTGGAACACAATACAAGGAATCTGAACATGTCTAGAAATAAAAGGTCTACTTTTATTTATTTATTTATTTTTTTTTGGTAAATGTCTTTGGTAAATGTCTCTGACTCTCCTAAATGTCCTAGCATGGTGAGCTTCTGAATAAAGATTGTTCCACAGAAGAAAGAAAGTCATACAGGTTTGGAATGACATGAAGGAGAGCAAATGATGACTTTGATGAAAATCATTGCTTTGATTTTTGGGTGAACTATCACTTTAAGAATACATACATACAAACAAGCACTGTGTAGAGCCAAAAAAATAATAAAATAAAAAAATAATAATAAAAAAAAATTTAAAAACAAGACGACATTCTGCGCTTATTTAAGATCTTTTTATGGTCTTAATTTTTGTATGTGGGAATTAAGACTTTTACAGACCCCCCATACTCCTCGTTTCTTAAACCTTGTCCAGTAAATCAAACACTTTGGTCTTTGAATATCTAGTGCAGACTATACAAGTTAAATTTAAGATCAGTCAATTCCAAGAGCTCCACATCCACCACCATGTGAAACAAACACCTACCATCATACTGATGCTTGACTGTGTTCCCAATGTCTGCAAACTTGCGATCCTCAAAAATCAGGAAGTTGTGCTTTTTAGCCAACTCTTTCAGATTGCTGGCGACGTCTGCAGTGAAGTCCTGCAGGATGTCCACATGAGTCTTCAACACGCAAATCAATGGCCCCAACGTCACAGCGATCTCCAGCAGCTCCTCAGAATGAGTCACATCTGCAGACACGCACAGATTGCTTTTCTTGTCCTCCATGATCTTCAGCAGACGGGCGGCGAGAGGGTGAGTGTCTGGCAAGCCGGCACGAGCCCCATAGCCGAGGTAATCACAGCCCTTTTTAGGAGCAGAGCAGTCATTCTTCTTTGCTGATACGTAGGTGTTGTTTTCTTGAACAAATCTCTCAACGTTCTGAGAAGTGCCTGTGTCTATTCGGCCGGATTTAAGCAACACATCCAGAAGTCTGGAGACAGAAATGACTGAATGTAGAGTGATGCCACTGTCAGCTAGCCTGGCACTGCCTCCCTGCTCTCTGTCCAATAACACCACTGCATCTGTGATCTTCAGGCCTTCGTTCTCTAGTACTGCAACGGTTTCTAGAACACTGCTGCCACTGGTCACCACGTCCTCTACTATTAGGCATCTGTCACCAGGGCGGATGGTTCCTTCGATGAGACGCTCCGTTCCTGGGGAATTTTAAAACACAATTTAGGAGAGCTTTATTGTCAGACCGGTATTATACAAGTATATAGAGAGGGTGAAATGGCATTTCATAGTGCAACATTCAAATCGACAACAAACAAAGAGAGACAGTGCAAAGGTCAATATAACAAGCATCATAAGGTGCTAAAAACAAATGTACTACCAGAGGATGTCAACATTTTTCCTTCATGTAAACTCTGAACATCATACATTAAATAATGAGCAGTAAAAGTTTAATGTGTCGATGCATATCCAAAATATATACTATTACCGGTACATTATTTATGCAATAACTGTTTTGTCATTCAAATTAGTTTTTTTTTTAATTTCAGTACCTCAATTTAAACTAAATGAAAATGAGAAATGTTGCCTTTGCAACAAGCTGAAATAAAACAGTTTTTATTGTTTTATTTCCATTTTATATATATATATATATATATATATGTATGCGAATAATGCGATACATAGAAAAAATATTTATTTCAAGTAACATAAATTCTTATGATTTTAGTTTAGTAAACTATAATAATACAGATTCACACTGCAAATCACACCACTAAATATATAAATAAACTATTTGTTAAGTTAATGATTAAAGGGTTAGTTCACCCAAAAATGAAAATTAAGTCATTAATTACTCACCCCCATGCTGTACCAACCCCGTAAGACCTTCGTTCGTCTTCGGAACACAAATGAAGATATTTTTGATTAAATTTGAGAGCTGTATAACTACCACATTGGCTCCTAAGGGACTGCCTCTTGACGGCCCAGAAAGTCAATGAAGAAAATGTTTAAATATCCCAAGTGACTACCGTGGCTCAACTATATGTTTATCAAGCGACGCGAAAACTTTTTGTGCGAAAAAACAAACAAAAATAACGAGTTTATTCGACTATTTCTTTTCTTCCTTGTAGGCCAGAACGAGAATTCCTTAGATTTCCACGACGCATGCGCGAGAATTGCGATCTGAAGTAGTGTAAGCTGGTGTAAGCAGATCGCAAATCTCGCGCATGCGTCGTGGAAATCTATAAGGAAGTCTCGTTCTGGCCTACAAGGAAGAAAAGAAATAGTCGAATAAACTCGTTATTTTTGTTTGTTTTTTCGCACAAAAAGTATTCGCGTCGCTTGATAAACATATAGTTGAGCCACGGTAGTCACTTGGGATATTTAAACATTTTCTTCATTGACTTTCTGGGCCGTCAAGAGGCAGTCCCTTAGGAGCCAATGTGGTAGTTATACAGCTCTCAAATTTAATCAAAAATATCTTCATTTGTGTTCCGAAGACGAACGAAGGTCTTACGGGGTTGGTACAGCATGGGGGTGAGTAATTAATGACTTAATTTTCATTTTTGGGTGAACTAACCCTTTAATATAGCAACTCAAGAACTATTTGTTGGACACTGAAACAGACCATATGACATTCCATGTTGTTCATTTTACATTTACGTAGTTGGCACATGGATTTATTCAAAGCGACTTACATTGCATTTAAGTAAGGTATACTGGTTATTGTTTGGAATATCATATCTACAGCATTACACTTTTTTTGAGGATTGTTTTACGATTTTGTTTTTAGATGAATGCTGCTTGGTTTGATATGTTGCTACCCAAATTTTTAAGTGTCTTTAGTGTCCAAATATTTTTGGTTTAGTGAAATTTAAACATAGTAAACGGATTACAGATGGAGTGGAGTTAAATTTGCACTATTATACCATAGTCCTTCGCCTCCTTTCGTCGAATAAGCATGGGATAATGCTTGGTAGAGCAGATGATTGTGGCCAGAGGAAGAGCCGTGTAAGGGACACCACACACACTATCAAACTGTACCCTTGCATCCTCAGCACGCTTGTGAAGAAGGCTTGCCACCTGATCACAAAAAAAAAATGATTTTATGATCAACGAATGACATCCATTTAAAAAAAAAAAAAGATCTGAAGGACTTGTTTTCTAAAACATTCTTGGTAAGAAAATGCTCAGGATGTGATGTAGGCCTACGATAACAAACTTTTAGAATAATGATTACTCAAAAAGTGAACACGTGTTTACCTGGTTCATCAACGCTGGATGGGACACTATTACTCTAAGATCAAAATAGATCGGCGAAGTGAGTCCACTTTTGAGCTTAAACGTTCCGAACTTGACTGCTTGGACGTCGTGTAGTTTCAGGATTAAACTATTTAAATTTGTGTCGTCCATTTTAGTTTGATCAATCATGTTCCGCTAAACAGTAATGTAAAGTGCGCGGGGGCACTGGGAAGCGAATTTTTTCCCCAGGATGGTAGGGGAAGGTTCCGCCTTTTTCGCCTCTGATTGGCTAGAAGGGCTCTCCTCCGATTGGTTTTTGGCCGTGAAACGTCATCTCACGTTCATGGCCATGCATGTCTGAGATTACTCGACGACAAAATAAAAGCATTTAAAGATGTTTGACAGTCAGAAAAAGACTTTTTAAAACACATTTTAAAAATAGTTTGTTTATTTATTAGACTAATTGCTAACGCTTACTCTGAGTGTTTGTTATGGTGTAATGACAAAATTATGGGACTGTTTGCATAGATAGAGTTTTACACATCCCACACGCACACTAAAATTATATTTACACCATAGATTTACACACGTTTTGGACCATTTGACAGAATGGCAGCTTGGTTGTAAATCATGTAAATCTATGTTTTTTCAAAAAATTATATTGACCGTGACTCTATTGTCGTTTTGATAACAACAGTTTGATAAAAAATAATTCATCGGTAAGGTTATGGTGGAAATGACAAAATGATGGGACTGTGTTTTTTATTTTTTATTTTAAGTTAAATATATACAACACTCACTGTTTCACACAATAATTACTTAAAGGGTGTAATATGTGTTATTTATTTGAATTTATTTAGACCAATCGTATTTGAGAAACAAAAAGAAATAATTATAAATAATAATAAATTATTACATTTTCATCTGTAAAACAAAATCAATAACGTTATCGTAATGAATTAACATGCCATCATTTTAACAAGATGAATATATAGAAATCAATATATTCTAATAAAAAGCGTGTTCTAGGCTAGTTGTCCGAGGACAGCTTTAGAGCTTTTATTTTGAAAACAATGACCGCGAGTAACTACAAAATGTAAATAAATAAATACAAACAAAAACGGAGTTTTAATGTGTTTTAAAGGTTCCGTAATTGTGATCAGTAGGCTTCAATTTCTTTAGTTTCTGATCTGCCTTTGCTGTTTCATGGAAGTTATGTTTGCTTTAAAATCACATGATTCCAGTGACGTTTCTTATCATGGCTTGTTCCTGTGAATGTTTAGTGCTATCATCTGTGGAATAATCAGGGTGATATACAGTCTGTCCAAAGGTAATGTATTGAAGATAACGACTACACTGATCTGAGAATATGTGGTGTAAGCAGAAAGGCGCTGGTCATAATGCTGAGCTGTCTGTCCTCTGATCAACTTACATTTCTTTAGACAGCACAGTAATATCATGAAGAGAAGACTTCTGCTGGTATCTAACTCCACACTTCATGGAGGAGGATATCTTCAACACTGTGAGCAGCACATCCAAGACTTTTTTGGAAAGTAAGTTGCCTGCAGCTTAACCAGGAATGTTGGAATAAAAACTTGCTACAGTCCTAAGAATATTGTTGCAATAAAGCCATAAAGTCCTTTACATTAATATTCTGATGTCGTTTCCTGGTTTTATATTTGCATGCAGGCTTGTTCCTGGATAAATGCAAAGTACAAGTCCATTCTTTGAACATAAACACCAGTTATGGTTTTTAAACTTGTTTGTATTGAGCAAAATATTACAGTTTGTCTTTTTGGAATCAAATAAATCTGACCTAGATTGAACCCATTTATAAAAATGAATAACTTCTTTGTTTAACAGAGGAGTAAAGAGGATCCTGTTTGTCCCATATGCACTGCATGATCGAGATGCCTATGCCAAGACTGCCAGAGACAAGTTCAAGACATTGGGTTTGTGTCTTTATTGGTTGAACACACACACTTCTGGACAGTCACTGTCACATTGCCCTTCATCTCTGCTGTACTGTTTTTTTCTTTGTCTCCAGGCTATGAGGTGGACAGTGTCCATGAGACACCAGACCCTGTGGATGCTGTTAGGAAAGCGGAAGGAATATTCATTGGTATGAAATATTAAATAAATAAATAAATAAATAAATAGTTTTATATACAAGATAATATAATTTAATATATACGATTTATATATTTTTCATAAGATTTGCATTTATTATTTGGTCTGTCCCCCTATTTATGTTTAAAGGACTTCACATGAACAATGTCACAATTTGCTTACATTTAATCAGTGACCCAGAAATCAACATTTGAAAAAAATGTTTAGAAAAAAACATTAGAAATCACAATTTTCAATGTGGTCTCTCTACTATACTATTCATACTCATTTCTGTGAATGCCTCGCCATTATTTACTTATAATGTATTCAGAAAGACAGGCTCTCAATCTGATGTCTATTTTTGTTTCCATTAGGTGGCGGCAACACGTTCCGCCTGCTGAAAGCTCTCTATGACAACAATGTGGTCACTGAGATTAGGAAAAGAGTTTTACAGGTGAATTAGTGTCTTGTTTAACCAAAATCTAAAATATTCTGCAATTGCCTGTAACAGGTGTGGATTTTATTTCACAGGATGGAATACCTTACATGGGATCAAGTGCAGGCACCAACGTCGCCACCATCAGCATCAACACCACCAATGACATGCCCATCGTCTATCCACCCACTTTTGCTGCCATTGCTTTAGTGCCCTTCAACATTAACCCTCACTTTCTGGATACTGATCCCAACAGCAAACACATGGGTGTATGTACTGGTGCTGCAGAGACTTTTCTCTTATAAAATCCAAGAAATATGCATTGTGAGGAAATTGATGCCATGAGATAAAAGTTCAATTTATGAAATATTTAAAATATAATAAACAAAACTTTTTGAACGTAGATATTTTAGGCTTCATGAGCATAGATTTGATTGTGTATTTTACAGGAAACACGTGAACAGAGAATCACCCAGTACCATGAGGAGTCGGACACACCATGTGTGCTGGTATGTCAAGTTAACATGCATTACTCACTACTGTTTAAAAGTTTGGGATCAGTTCGATATATATATATACGTATATATATATATAACTGATCCCAAACTTTTAAACACACACACATATGTATATATACAGTATATATATATATATATATATATATGTGTGTGTGTGTTATATGTCAATTTATTTTCTGTGATTCAAAGCTGAATTTTCAGCATTTATTACTCCAGTCGTCAGTCACATGATCCTTCATATATAGATTTGATATCAAATCTCAATGTTGTTATTGTCATTAAAAATGTTATTAGTCTAGCATCAGTTGAGCACTAAGACACACCTATACTGTTGATGGCAGGGTCTCCGGGAAGGCTCAATGCTTTTAGTGGAAGGAAACAAAGCCACCTTACTTGGAAGCACAAAAGCACGACTATTCCATAGGTAAAGTAGAGACTCCTGCAAATGGAACATATAACAGAAAAAATAATAATAATGCCAAATAGGCACAGTAAGTGAAATGATTGTTTTTCTTTCTCAGAGGGAAGCAAACCACAGAGTATGAACCGGGAAGTGATCTCAGCTTCTTACTAACAGATGTACAATGAGTTGCGACATCATGCACGATGCAAAAAACATTTTACAATAAATACTGTTAAAAAAATCTCTATCTTTTACATTATTTACAGCTGTTTATTTTGCTTTGAGTACATTAGGACAAAAGCTAGAGAAGCATTCTAAAGATGATTTATTTATAAATTTAAAGTCTGTAATTGGTTATTCATCAACCAGATAAGTGTTACCAGTTACAGAAATCCTGTTATGATAACATGAACTTTAGACACTAAAAAAATAGATACTACATTCGAGTCAAGGACAAAGTATGGATGCCCTGGTATATTCATAAATAAGGCAAAAACAAACAAACAAAAAATAATCTACCGTACATCAGTATGTGTATTTATTTGAATTACAGAAGCATTAACAACTTATTGCTGAACAAAATCAAGGGAGAAAAAAAAGCTGTTTTTAAACATGATGGATTCTCAAAAATACATATTTTTGTTACTATGATGATTATGTCCCATTATTATTATTTTTTTTTTTTACAAACTTTACAAAATAAAAGAGAATATATTCTGGATCATTTTAAAATGCATAATTTTGATTGAAGTACACAAATGTTTCATTTAGACAACATAATTGTGGCAACCCAATATGGGTAAATGCATATGGGCAGCAGCATTACTATAATACAGCAACATAAGAAATCCAGGGGTGTTTTCAGTGTTATGGGTTGTGTTTTTCAGACCTAAAACCATGAACTGGAACTTTTAAACCACAAAATCAAATTAACATCAGTCAAATAACCGTTTTTAATATATAAATATTTTCCCCAAAAGGCCAATATTGCTCCTAAGGATTCCATACCCCCCACCCCCATACGATCAAACTGATTGTAATTTTCATTCAAAATTGATTCTTAATGTTACTTGGGATGCATCACACTAAATTCATTTTTTTTCTATTCTAATTGTACCTTTAAAAAACCGATTAGAGTTTGATCTAAAAAAATACTTCTGAATCTTAAAACTAAAGGTAAGTGAATACATTATAAAGGTGCTTATTTCATAAGTGGTAGTTTTCAAAATACAAAAATGTTACAGTTATTTGCTCTATTTTGCAAAGACTTTGATTATTTTCTCTTTTTATAATACAAATTCAACCAAATGTTCTAAATGCAGAAACATAACCCTGCTCTAAAATTGTGTTTACAGTAGACAATCATAATAATATTTTCTCAAAATAATACACCTTACACCCAAATAAGAAACCAGAGTCCAAATCCCAACAGCTGGAAAAAAAAACTGCAGATGAGAACTAAAAGTCCTGCAGAAAATCTCCAAACAGCAGAAACTGATCACCACTAAATAAAGTAACATGAAAGTTTCTCCAACAAGAAACAGCAGAACCAGCAATCAAATGATGTACCAAACTACGTCGTCTTTCCTCAAAATAAAACATTTAAAAATCATGATCACATTTTGAATTATTTAAGGTTCATTCCATTTATTGTTGTTGCACGTTAACAACTTGAAATGTGTTACGATTTAAATGGTTGATCTCTAAACCCAACTGAAAAATCATATCTTGTTTTAAGACTCAGTGCAGTTAAAAAAGGATAGGAGCACAGCGGAAAGGATTGGCACGGGGCTTTAGTCTTATTACCAGAACAGCATGGTTGAGTTAAAGCACCATTCAAATGACAAAAGTCATCACTCATCTGGGCTGTCTGGATGAACACTCCGATGCTGCGGATAAAGATGAGAGAGTTGTGAAGGATGTTGCTGTGAATCAGGCACACTCCTGTGGATGTGGCACTAGTGAAGGTAAAGATCTCAGGCTTCTGTGTTTCTGTCTCCGTTCTCCTGAGGCTGAAGCTGCTCTTTCTCGGTACTATCGTCCTGTGGCGGCCGCACGCGTTTAAAGAAGCCCAGCTGAGGAGGAGAGAAATAAAGATGAGACATCTAAAGCAAACTATCTATCCATCCATCCATCTTTTTTAATAAGCTACTTGTTACTTGCAATTATGTGACCTATTAAAAACGATGTTATATAGATGGATGGATAATATAATAAATATATTTTAACTTTATTTAAAAATAAAGGGCTAAATATTTCTAAAATAAGTTATTTAGCCCATACTTGCAATTCTGTGACCTTAAGACATAATGTTTAGCTGTCACTCACTAGCTGAATAAATTTATTATACAAACACACACAAACTTCTTTATATAAAAAAACATTTAATGAGATTTTATTGATTACGGTAAAGAAGGACTTAAAACCACTACTACTTCTGTCATCTATCTTCTGTTGTGATGAGATAACAGCCAATCAATCAATTAGTTTAATGCCTGGTATCATAGACAAGGCTTAAGCCTAGTCCTAGACTAAAATGCTTTTTTTGCGCTGTTTTAAATGAAAGCAACTTGCACTGATATATCTTAAAAATATCAAGATGCACAACATTAATGTTTTTTCACTAGGGCTGGGTATTAAATATCGATTTCTCGATATTAATCGATTCTCATTTTTACGAACCGATATCGATTCTTAAATCTCAAGAATCGATTAGTCATCCTGTTTCATTTGAATGAATGGAACATTGTATCGCGGCTGGGCGCATCCAAAAAAATCGCAATAATCTTTGTCCTTTGTTACTATTGATATGAAACAAAGTCTCAATTTTCAAATTATGTCCATATTCTTTAGAAATTCAAAAACATAAATAGCGTTTTGGCGCTGTGGCGCTGTGGCGCTGTGGCGTGAGAGCGCTCTGGCGCAGCTCAAGAGAAGCAGCAGCGCTGATCTCTCTTCCGGGTTAATAATATCAGTCACAGCTCGAAATAAACATGAATGAATTTATATTTCATATAATCTTCTAATTGTAAAAATAAATAAAAGTGTAATTTAAGTGTTTAGCTACAAAACAGTTCATTATTACCTTCATATTAGGCTAATGAAGCCTATTGGCTACAACTAGACTCCCATAGTTTACAGCATTTAAGAGATTTGATTCCCTTGAGAAAAATTATTTATTTTAACTGATATCCAAAATAATCGATATTGAATTGAAATCGAAGCGCAAGCTTGTGAATCGAATCGAATTGTGAAATTTGTCTCAATACCCAGCCCTATTTTTCACATTTATAAAAGCTGCTTAAATATCCTAATTGAACTAAGGCCCACAGGCTTAATCTAAGCCATGTTAACTGAAGTTTACAGATCTTTACCTTATACATGACAAAGATAAGCAGAGCCAGCAGCAGCAGTCCAGCCAGGACAGCCAGAGCCACAACCCATCCTGGGACAGGCTGAGGGTTCTCTGAATTCCAGATCACCTTCAGAGAAGCCTGCAGGACAGACACAGGGTCAGTGCAGTCAGTAACAAACACCATACATCCAGTGCACAAATGTAATAGGAACTTACCGATGTTGTGCTGGTTGGTAACTCAGAGTTTATATTTTTATATGGCATCTCTATGACACTGAAGGAGGCAGAGGATCGAACATTGTATGATTTGTTTTGACTTTCAGCCTGAAAGGAAAGAAAGCCACCACTGTGTTTTAATATATTAGCATTTGTGTGGTGAAAACAGGCTGTTTTAGACTTTGCAGTGGGAGAAGTAATATGATTTTTTTATACCTTGAGAAACGTGCTCACGGTAAGTCTGGAGTAAATAAATAGAATAGCACTCTGGCCTTTCTCTAGACGGCCAACCCAACACTTAATCTCCTGACACTCTGCATTCCCACAATCCTGTTGGGTACACAAACAATTGGACTTGAATCCATGCATAATGATGACATGGACAGTTCAATGGCATATCTGGACAGTGCCAGTGGTACACATGTATAGTGGGGTGAAATGGTTCCCATAAACAAAATTGGTTTGATGGTATAACAACCATGATAATAGTTGAACAATAATTTATGATACATAATTATATTTAAATAAACACTATCGTTCAAAAGTTTGGGGTCCATAAGATTTTATAAATGTTTTTGAAGAAAAGAAAAAAAAAAACCTGACCTAAGCGGCATTTGATTTAAATAAATAAAATACAGTAAAAAAAAAGTAATATTGTGAAATATTATTACAATTTAAAATCTATTTTTTTTATTTGAATATTTTAAAATGTAATTCCTTCCTGTGATGGCAAGAGAATGAAATTTCAACATTACTCCAGTCTTCAGAGTCACATGATTCTTCAGAAATCATATATGACGATTTGCTGCTCAAGAAACATTTCATATTATTATCAATGTTGAAAACAGTTGTGCTGCTGCTTAATATTAGTTTGGACATTGAGAAGGATACTTTGATGAATAGAAAGTTCAAAAGAACAGTATCTATTTGAAATAGAAATGCTTTGTAACATTCTAGATGTCTTTACTGTCATTTAAATGCATCCTTGCTGAGAAAGTAATTACTGACCGCATACCTTTGAACAATAGTATTATATAGTAATGCATTGTAAAACTGCTGCAAAACTTCTCAGACAGAAGCAACAGTTAAAGATGTGACAATACCAGAATCTCCAGGTTTTCTTCCCCTTCTTTGTCCCCCAGGTCTCTGCGGTGGACGTTGTGTCTGTTCCCCCCCTCTGCTCTGTCTCCACTGGCAGAGGTCTCATTTTTGTCAATTAATCTGGGATTCTAGGTAAAAGCAAAAGCATAATTTTATCTCTGGAATATTATACGAGATCCTAAATACAATCCAATTGTGAACAAGAAAGGTTTAGTCTCTGTACACTTTTAAAATACTGTGTAATTAAAGGGAGGGTTCACTCAAAAATGAAAATTCTGTCATCATTTACTTACCATCAAGTTGTTCCAAACCTGTATGAAAATTATTTCTTCTGATGAACAAAAAAGTAAATATTCGGAAGAATGTCGGTAACCCAAACAGGCCTATTGACTTCCATAGTAAATCAGAAACTTGGATGAGTATGACAGAATTTTACTTTTTAGGTGAAATATCCCCTTTAAATTTTAGATCCTGTTAATTAACCACAGTATTACATATAAAAAATACTTTCATGAATCGATTGTGGGATACATACAGTGACATTGAGAGGGTTGAGCTCCCTGTTTGAGCTGCAATTCATGTTTCCGTCCACTTCAAACTTGGTGATGTAGAGCAGAGAGCCGTTGTTGAATCTGTAGGGCCACTGCACATCCAAAATGGCCTTACTGAATGTACTGGGTCCTCTGTTCCTTAGCTGGGACAATCAGTGATTACAGAAGATAAGAAAAAAATCGTAAACTATGCACAGAAGCTTAATAGATCTACAATGTCTTTTTACCAATAATAGTCACAGCATTTTTTTTTTTTTACCTCATAGATGTGCTGTACAAGAGGTCCAATGTCATCCTCCAGAACAGGACTGTCTTTTGGCTGCCAGTTAGCGATGGGTAAAAACACCTGCTCTGGTGCTGACACCCTGCACAAGATAGAGCCGATTAATACACAATAAGTACATTTTGTGTTGATTTTATCATTAAAAAAAAAAAATATATATATATATAACATATAAAGTATCATACCCTCTTAATTCCACTCTAGCCAAAACCGCAAGCTTTGTGACAACAGAGACCAGATTGCTGGTTTTGTTGAACTGATTTGAGCTGAAAAAAAGGCTATTTATTTACTTTTACAATCAAGCAGAAGGTGGTGCTGTTTCAAATACTGACAGACATTTCATTCATTAAGAGACAAAATCTATAAAAAAAAAAACTAGACTAGTCTAAGTTATAAATATGCAGCAGTATATATCATTAAGGTTCAGATAGATGTGAGGGTGAGAAGAAAGAGTGAGAGACAGGGAGCAAAGCAGGATGTTCTCCAAGAGAGACAAAGACAGCTGTTCCCTGTAATTAACATGTGAAAAAAGTCACAGGCAGTCAGCAGGGAACTGTAGGATTAGAAGAGGGAACTGCTTGAAGTTTTATTGACTTAAATAAAAAAGACAGGAAGTGGAGATACTTGTATGCCCTTGTTGGGTAACAGACGACTTAATTAGTATAGCACAAAGCAAAGATTCTCTCAACGTTACTGTTGTAATAGCAAGCATTAATTAAAATACCTCTTTATCTGCAAGTCAAACTTGACTTCTGTGTCCTGTTCGGAGAGCTGGTGCACGCTGAAGCGCAAGCCTGCTGTTATCTAAACCACACAATTTTACAGAAAAACTTCAAATGAAATAAAGCAGCTAATTTATGTGTTAAAGTGCACAACAATATAAATAGAATAAATAACGTATGGAACAGATACAAATGCAGATAATTTAGCTCGGAAAGTCTGTTGGTCACCTTAGTTCCTCCTTTCATTGGGTTCCCAAGATCACACAC